TGTTTGCAAATTTCTGAGATTGCCATTTTTTCTTTGCAATTTATTATCTACTTTGCAATAATTTTAAAAGAACACTATTCACCCCCCCTCTAGTGTTCAAGTGTATCTATTTCAGATCCTACAGAAACCACAAACCTTTTAGCCAAAAGTCTGATACTAAATTTTGCTATGTCTGTGGGAGAACCAATCATCTTTCGACTCAGTGCTACTACCGAAAGAAAGCTCCTATCAAGACTCCTGTAGGTGGAAAGGGTGAAGAAGCAAGTCATAGGGTCAACATGGTAGAAAATAACTCAGACTCCTTTAGGTTAGCTTCCTCCTCTTATGTTGTAAATTGTAACACTTTTTCTGATGACTGGTGGTTGGATTCTGGAGCAAATATTCATATTTCTTCTGATCACTCTTGGTTTTCAACTTATCAGGAATCAAGTGGATGAATTGTAATTCTAGCAGATGACTCGACTAGACAAGTAATGGGAAGTGGACGTGTAGATCTAAAGATGACTTCCGAAAAGATTTTGACTCTCCACAATGTCCTACATGTACCATTACTTAGAAGAAATCTGATTAGTGAATCTGTTGATTTTGACTCTCCACAATGTCCTACATGTACCATTACTTAGAAGAAATCTGATTAGTGAATCTGTTTTATTGAAAGTTGGATTCCAATGTCCTACATGTACCATTACTTAGAAGAAATCTGATTAGTGAATCTGTTTTATTGAAAGTTGGATTTAGAATTGTTAAAGAGTAAAATAAGTTTGTAATTACCAAGAATGATATATTCATTGGTAAAGGTTTTATTTGTGATGATCTTTTTAAGTTGAATGTAATAAGATCCTCTGATAATAAAAGTTCTTTCATAATTTTAAATGTTGAATCTTGTGACAAATGGCATGGAAGGTTAGGACACATAAATTATGGAACCATTAGAAACATAACATCCTTGAACTTGATACCCAAAACCATGATAGATCCACCTTCTAAGTGTGAGATATGTGTTCAAGCTAAAACCAGTAGAAAATCGTTCCACTCTATTCATAGAGATTCTGAACCTCTAGAACTCATACATAGTGATGTTTGTGATTCAAACAGAATTCTTACTAGGGGAGGAAGAAGATACTTTGTAACCTTCATAGATGATCATTCAAAGTATTGAGATGATCATTCAAAGTATTGTTATACATATCTTCTTAAAACTAAAGATGAAGTCTTAGAAAAATTTAAGATATATAAAGAAGAAGATGAGAATCAAATTGAGAAGAAAATCAAGATCCTAAGATCGGATCGTGGGGGGGAGTATACCTCAAATAACATGACCGAATATTACCAAGAACACGGTATTATTCATGAGGTGACTGCTCCCTACACACCGCAATCCAATGGAGTTGCTGAAAGGAAGAATAGAACTCTCATGGATATGGTAAATTGTATGCTTCTCAGCTCAGGAGCACCTGAAAATCTATGGGGTGAAGCACTCCTATCTGCTTGCTACATTCTTAATAGGGTACCTCACAAAATATCTGATATCTCTCCCTATGAACTTTGGAAGGGTAGAACACCTAGAATAGATTATCTTAAGGTTTGGGGATGTCTAGCTAAGGTATGGTTACCTGAACCTAAGAAGAGGAAAATTGGTTCAAAAACTGTTGATGCTGCATTTATTGGATATGCATTAGATAGCAATGCAAATCGGTTTTTAGTAGTCAACTCAGATATTAGTGATATAACCAACAACACTATCATTGAGGCTCGAGATGCTGTATATTTTGAAGATATATTCCCTTTCAAGACTAGGATTCCTAGTGAGCTCTCTTCTCTTTCCCCTTCTAGATTTGCCTCATCTTCTAGTACACCACAATCGATAGAAGTAGAACCCAAAAGAAGCAAGAGAGGAAGAATCGAAAAGAACTTCAGAGAAGAGTTCTTTACATTTTTAGTTGAAGGTAATCCAAACACATACCAAGAAGCCATGGATTCTTCTGAAGCTCCTTTTTGGAAAGAAGCCATAGATAGTGAAATTAAATCTATTATAGAAAATAACACTTGGGTTTTAACTGACTTACCTCTAGGATGTAAAACAGTTGGTTGTAGATGGATTTTCAAGAAGAAATTAAGACCTGATGGAACCATTGAGAAATATAAAGCTAGACTAGTAGCAAAAGGGTATACTCAGAAAAAGGGTATTGATTATTTTGATACATACTCCCCTGTAGCTAGGATTTCTTCTATTAGAGTTCTTCTAGCCTTAGCTTCTATTCACAAGATGATTATTCACCAAATGGATGTTAAGACCGCTTTCTTAAATGGTGATCTCAAAGAAGAGATTTATATGGATCAACCGGAAGGGTTCATAGCCAAAGGTCAAGAAAGAAAGGTTTGCAGATTATATGGATCAACCGGAAGGGTTCATAGCCAAAGGTCAAGAAAGAAAGGTTTGCAGATTGATGAAATCTCTATATGGGCTTAAACAAGCTCCTAAACAATGGCATCAAAAATTTAACAAAATCATTATAGAATATGGTTTTTCTATCAACGAGTTTGATAAATGTGTTTACTCAAAAATTATTCACAATGATTGTGTCATCTTGTGTTTGTATGTAGATGATATTCTTATCTTTGGGACTTCAATCGAAGTCGTTCTAGAAGCTAAAAATTATTTGTCAAAGAATTTTGGCATGAAAGATCTTGGAGAAGCTAATTTGATTCTTGGAATGAAAATCTCCAAAACTTCTAAAGGCATTTCTTTGAGTCTATCCCATAGCATAGAGAAAATGTTAGAGAATTTTGATTTTCATAAGTGTAAACTTGTGAGTACACCTTATGATTCCTCAATAACCTTAAACAAACATGATGGTGAACCTATATCCCAACATAGATATTCACATTTGATAGGTTCTCTTCTTTATGTGACAAACCGAACCAAACCTGACATTGCTTATGCAGTAGGTAGACTAAGTAGATACACTAGTAACCCAAGTCAGGAACATTGGAATGCATTAGAAAGAGTCTTTAGATATTTGAGAGGTACAACAGACTATTGTTTAACTTATTCTGGATACCTTGATGTGATTGAAGGGTAGAGTGATGCTAACTAGGTCACTGATTCTAACAATTTGAAGTCTACTTCTGGATTTATTTTTATGCTTGGCGGTGCTGCTATATCTTGGAAATCTTGTAAACAAACAGTGATTGCCAGAAACACCATGGAGTCTGAACTTATAGCTTTAGATTCTTGCTGCTCAGAAGCTGAATGGTTGAAAAACCTTATATCTGATCTCCCTTTTGTGTCTGGACCTATTCCTCCTATATCTATTCATACAGACTCCAGATCCACTATAGAACTTTTAAAACAAAATACCATCAATAAAAAGTTGAACATACATCTGCAGATAAGATTTAAATATGTACAGAACCTTATGGGAAAATATGTTGCCTTGGATTTTGTAAAGTCAGAGGAAAATTTGGCAGACCACTTGACAAAGGGTCTATCTAGGAGTGCAATCCTAGAATCATCGAGGGGAATGAGGTTAAGACCATAGTAGAGTTCACTTGCAGCAGGAACCCAACCTTTGATTGATGAGTTATTCTCATGAAAAAGGTTCAATGTGGTAGAAACAAGCTGGATTGGTGATCTTGTGTGGAGCACTGACCTTCGGAGTTATACTCTTTTTGTAGTGTTGGATGCATTTATGACTTGCACCATGTTAACTACTCCCTCATTCCTATGGTGACAGTACTATTATGATGTGATTGGGAAGGATGAGTTCTACTCTTAATAAGTCCAACCTTTGTGGGGGTGCAATATCCAGTCACAATACCCTTGGAGGACTTACCTACGTGAGAGGAACCATGACGGTCGCGGTTAGGGACATGGGGCTGAGTCCTAGTAACTCTCATGAGACGGTTATTGTGAGCATGGCCATTATCGTTCCAACCCACTCGCTCAATAAATGGATGCATATTATGTGTGCTTTTGTTAATTTCTGATCAAGGGGCCTAATTCAAGGTTGTGTGCTTTTGTTAATTTCTGATCAAGGGGCCTAATTCAAGGTCTAATCCATTATGCCTCTCAGATTGCGACAAATGTCACTAAGCAAAGATTAAAAGCCGAAAGCTATCTTTGCCGAATTCATAATATGAGGTTTTTGGGGGGGGGGGGGTTGTTGGAATTAATTTAAAGATTTGAGTTCTTATGCAAATATGACCTTTTGAAGGGTTCTTTTTGAAAATTTCCTTTCCTTATCAAATTCATAAACGCTTTCTTATCCTCTTTCCCCATTCTCCGCTCTCAATTTTCCTCCGAAATAAATCCCGATGATTCCTCTTTCCTTTTTTTTTCTCCGAGCGAAAATCTCGTCCTCGTACAACGGAAACGTACACGCTCTCTCCGGCCTCATCAATGACAACGGGAAAATTCTCAAGGGCTATAAAAGGGGATCTCAAGGAAACATGAAGATCAGAAGAAAGAAAGAAAACAGTGAGCAATTCTCAATCTCTCTCTCACAATTCTCTACAATATTTCGATTTCTGATTTTAATTTTGGGCAAACATTCATTGAGCAAGAGATCAAAGTTTCGCAGTAAACTTTGGTGCCGGCTTTCTCGGGGGTTCTTACCGCTAGGCTTAGTTGCACCAAGTCGTCTCTGCAAATGCGGCGACTATTGTTCTAGGACAGTGATCACACGATTACCCCGTCTCAGGCCTGCGTTTTCTAACCCTCTTTCGAATTCTTTTGATTATTTGCAGTGTTCTTTTCTAACAAAATCTGAGTGAAATGAATAGACCAACATGAGTTATCTTCCTAAAAAAACTCTGGTATATTTTAAGTTTTGTGGACTCAAAAATTAATCATAGCTTGTGTTTTTTATCAAATGAAAACTATGCATTTAAGCATGCACGAGTTTGAATGATTCCAGGATGAATGGCATTCTAGAAACTTCTCCCTCATGCTTCCTCTTTGGGTGGTTTTGTAGTCTTGTTTCGATGGAGCAATACAGATGACGAGAATCATTCGGCTGGTCTGTTCATCAAAATAATCTGCTCGAATTATGTAAAATTAAGGAACTTACCAAGTAGTTTTATGGAATAACGAAACTGGCTCCCCAATGTTGTATCCTTTTAAATGTTGTCTTATTTTTTTCGTGGGACTCTGGCGCCGTATGATGAAAGGTTATTAATTAATTCAAATAAGCTAGGATCGAGAGTTTGAAACATTAATTGCTTCTTTCACTGTTAAGCTTCTTCTGGTTTTTTTTTGGCACCTTTACTTCAAATCTTAATCTAATTGCCTAGACATTGAACCTTGTAGATCGATTTCACTCCACCTGTGACACCTCAAAAAGCATCAACAGATGACGGAGACAGCCAAATCGGCACAGTCGGTTGTGTTGTAGTAGACCGTGACCGGAACATAGCAGCAGCTACCTCCACAGGCGGGCTAGTGAACAAGAGGGCGGGGAGAATAGGCGACACCCCAATTATCGGAGCAGGTACCTACGCCAACTCATTATGTGCGGTCTCGGCCACAGGTCGTGGGGAAGCAATTATTAGGGGTACAGTCGCACGTGATGTCGCTGCTTTGATGGAGTACAAGGGGCTTTCCCTCAAAGAGGCTACTTCCTACGTCATTGACAGCGTCCCCAGAGGCACTGTTGGACTCATTGCGGTGTCCGCTGACGGAGAAGTCGTCATGACTTTCAATACCAGCGGCATGTTTAGGGCTTGTGCTACACAAGATGGTTACTTGGAGATCGGGATTTGGCCTAACTCGGGCCTCTAGATTTTGAACTGTGAGCTAGTCGTATTGGATTCGTGTGAAGGACCAAAATAATGAGTGAGCTGCTTTGGTCAGGTATGAGATCAGTTACGTTTTCTTTCTTTCTTTCTTTTTTCTCCTTTTTTTTCATGAGGAGTTTTGTGATTAGTTAGTTGTTATTGAATACAATTTTCAAATTGGTTACTGTGGTGTTAAAATAATATTGCCATGAAATATATTTGACGTTTTCTTGTTTTTTTTTTGGAAAAATTGCTTCAAGGCCCCAAAATTGAAAAAACAATGTGCAACAGCCCCCTGTACTTTTAAAGTTTGGTATAAACCCAAAATACACTCCAAAACTTCATTTTAGCCCCTCCAGCTCACTCAATCCTCAGAATCCCGAATCTACCCTTCCCGCCCACTCTGCTACAGCCATCGTGCGTTGGTAACGGTGCCGCCCACTCCGCTACTATCGAGGCGCTCTCTCTCTCTCCTCTCTCTCCCTCCCGCACTCTGTCTCTGGCTTACTCTCCGGCGAAAAACCAAAACCGCTTCTAGGGTTAGGTCGAAACCAGTTCGCAGATGGAGAAAAAATCGGCGAACGAATACGAAGTGGTTCACCATCCTCCGCCGCCGCTGCAACGTCAGGAACATGCACCAATGAACGACGAGCGAGAAGACTCGCCGTCGCCTTCCAAGACCGACGAAGATCCTCCCTCGCCTTCCAAGACCGACGAAGACCCCCTTTTGCCATCTGAGACCGACCGTGGCACCGATTCTCTCACATCCTCCCCTGCCTCCAAGTCGTCGTCCACCCATGCATCATCATCAGGGAATGGCAGCACCGATGAAGCCACCCAAACGTTGTTGAGTTTCCAAATGGGTGTAAGGAGAAAAAGAAAAATTACAAGTTCACTAAACGCACCACAGAAATCCATAAAGAAGTAAGATAATGTTATATGTTATATTTTCTAATTTACATAGATGTTAAGGGATTGAAGTTGAATTGTGAACTATATGCCTGGACATTGGTTGAAGGACATGTTAGCTGATACCTTAATGTTAAATGTGAACTATATACCTCTTATTAATGTTAAGTTTGGCTGTTAAGTGTTAAGGTTTATAGCGTAACTGTTACAGTTCATTGTTGCATGTTAACTATTGGATGTTGGATGTCAAGTGTTGTTGATGTTAAATGTTTAATTATAATACAGGAAAAAGTCAGGTGCTGCTAAAATTAGACCCACTGCAAGTTTCTCCGCATATTGTAAATTTATGAAAGTCCTCGAACCGAGAATGCGGCAGTGTCATTGGGATGCATACCAAGGGTGTACATTCCAGCATTATGTAAAGTTTGGCCCCCCAGCAAAAGATCGACCCACGCTGGAACTTGTATTGAGACACTATAAGGGTAATGAAGTGGCGTTTTCTCTGCCCGATGCCGAAAGTGGGAGAGAAAAGGTTGTTAATTTTGATTTGGACTGGGTGCATGAACATACAGGTTTCCCAATTGATGGGGAAATAATTTACAATAATAGAGATCCTTTCCCTAGGCTTTGGGTGGAGTATTTTGATGAACATTTTACTAGAACCACAAAGAAATCAACGAAGAATATGCGGCGATATGTGGAAGAGCTACTGCAATCTCTTGTTGAATCAAGAAAGAAGAAGGATATTGAAGATTTTGTGTTACTGCAGATACTTTATCAATGTTCATTGATGTGGTGCCCTAGCAGTGTCCAAGGCATCCCAAGGCTCTTGTTCAAATATGTTGATTCAATTGAAAGAGTGAGGAATGTGGCCTGGGGGAAATACATCTATGATCAGACGAAGAAAGGAATTAAGATAGCCAGGGAAGGTCTGCACAGGTCAGGAATAAGCTATGTACCTGGATGCATGCCTTTGATCCCTGTAAGTTGGATTAATCTGTGCATGTGAACGCTTGCTTGTTTTCTGTCAACTTACGTCAAGAAACCATTAAGGCTTACTGGTTCATGTTAACTATTCTAAGGATCTTGTTAACTATATTTCGGTTCATGTTAACTTTAGTGTTTCCAGTATTAAAGTTGGTGTTGTCAGTGTTAACTATATTGCAAGATGAGTTGTGTTAACTATATTCATGTTTAAAAGATTAGTATTGCATACTAACATGTATTAATTGTTTGCAGCTATGGTATTATGAAATGACGGGGATTAAAAGATATGCCTTGAGCAATAGATCCAAACCACCCCTCACTAACTGGGTGAAGATTGGTGAGAAGTATGGATCTTTTAGAAATAGAACAATAGTTGCCAAGGCTGCAAAAGCTAGCATCCAGGTTGTACAAAAACCAATAGCTGAAATTGGCCCATCCGATGAGAAATATCCAATCAGAAGGCCATTGATGACGCTTAAAAGGGAAGGGATTGTACCACAATTTCCAGTCGTACAAAGGGAGGCCAAGAAAGCAGCAGTAAGGAAGAGGAAGATTGAAGAAGAAAAGAAGGTTGAAAAGAAGGAACAAGAGAAGGAACATGAGAAGAGATGGTCAATAGGTTTGGTAAGTTCTAAGGTGCTAAATATTATCACAAGAATACATAACATGTTAGCAACAATAGATAACATGTTTTCTACAACAGTTAACATGTTAGCAACAATAGATAACATGTTTTCTACAAGTGTTAACATGTATGCACAAGAGTTAACATGTTAGCAACAAGAGTTAACATATTAGCAACAAAAGTTAACATGTTTCAATAAGAGTTAACATATTATCACAAGAGTTAACATGTTAACTACAAGAGTTAACATGTTACCAGAGAGAGTTAACATGTTAGCAGCAAGAGTTAGCATGTTACCTATAGATGATTGAAGAACCTTTAATTATCTGTGTCAATTGTGGACCACTTACTGTTAACCTTTATAAACTTGATTTTAACTCTTTGTTATTTCTAAATTATAGATAATGTCAAAAGCCATTGATGAGGCTTTCGAAAGGGAAGATGAGATTGAAACGTTACCGGTTGAGGAGCAACTGCAATTTTGGAGAAATGCTGCTAAAGTAAACCAGAGACTTTGCCGTACACTGAGGGTCTCGAAGAAATTGTATTGTCAAACTTTCATGGACGAGATTCGTAGACTTAACGAAAAGGTTAAGGGGTTGGACGAATCTTGTGACATAGTAGATCCCTTGATTTTAAAGAACAATGTGAAGAAGCTTATTGCACAGCAGCTGAAAGGAAACCCTACAGTGGAAGAAGAAGAAGAGGACAACTATGGAGAGAGAGACGACGTCACCATGAATGAAGGTGTCGAGGAAATGGGCAAGAACGAAGAGAGAGAAGAAGTGACCAAGGATGAGGAGGACAAGCAGATGGTTGAGGATGAAGAGGGCTCGAAAGGAGAGAGAGACGATGTTACCAAGAATGAAGTTGTCGAGGAAATGGGCAAGAGCGAAGAGAGAGACGAGGTGATCAAGGATGAGGAGGACAAGCAGATGGTGCAGGAGGAGGAAGGTGTGGTTGAGAGAGTTCCACTCAGCGAAGGACCGAAGAGGCCGAGGAAGCCGGTGAGCAAAAAATATGTGGGTTATAGGAGTAGAGCTCCAAGCAAAAGAGCAACCAAGAAAGGTAAACTGGTTAGGACACCATTTACTGAGGATAAGAAACCGAGGGCTAAGGGATTGAAGTTAAAAGATGGTGAGCACAAAGATGAACCCATTGTTGTTGGTGACACCCCAAAGAAAATAACAGTTTACCATGACGACAGTGTTGGCAAGTGGGATGTGCTAAAAAGCACGTATTTAACAGATGTGGATCGTGCTGCCTTAAAAGAGGTGAATGAGGGTATCCCTGATGTAGGCACGTTTAGCTTACGAGTGTTAGATAGCGCTGGGGCTTTTGTACATAACTACAGAATACCAAAAAATGTTGCAGAGAAACTCTCAGCTGAGGAGAACAAATGGCTCGAGCAGTACTGCAAGGAGAAATGTAGCCCGTAAGTGCTGATTTCAAAATGTAAAGCTTTCACGTTTAAATTTAAGCAACAAGGGTTAACATGTTAACCACGAGTGTTAACATGTTAACAACAAGAGTTAACATGTTAGCAACAATAGTTAACATGTTATCCACAAGACTTAACAGGTTAGCGACAAGAGTTAACATGTTATCCACAAGAGTTAACAGGTTAGCAACGAGAGTTAACATGTTTGCCACAAGAGTTAACACGTTAGCTACAAGTGTTAACATGTTATCCACGACAGTTAATATGCTAAGTAATTTAATGCTAACTCTTTAATATTAACTGTGAAACTGTGTTTTTTGCTTGTTATGTTTGTGTGTTTAGATGTTAGTTTTCATGTTTTAAATTTTAACCCTCCGTAACTTATTTCTTGTTAAGGTACGTATATGTCATAACTACTGATAACAGCGCAGTTACATACCCGGATCTACTGTATATGATCCGCGGGGGAAGACTTGGTGATAAAGTAACAGAGGCATTCTTAGATAGATTACGGCTATGGCTGCAGTTGCCAGAGAACGCTGAATTAAACAAGCAGTATGGGATTGTATCTACATATTTCTACGTAAGACCAATCCTCATATAATTAGTTAACAGATAAGCTCTTATATTTAACATGTTAACTCGAATAGTTAACATGTTATCCACAAAAGTTAACATTTTTTCCACAAAAGTTAACATGTTATCTATCAGAGTTAAGATATAGCCACAAGAGTTCACATGTTATCTACAAGGGTTAACATATTAGCAACAAGAGTTAACATGTTTTCAACAAAAATTAACATGTTTTCCACAAAAGTTAACATGTTCTCCATAAGAGTTAACATGTTCTCGACAAGAGTTAACATCATGTTTTCCACAAAAGTTAACATGTTCTCCATAAGAGTTAACATGTTCTCGACAAGAGTTAACATGTTTTCGACAAGAGTTAACATGTTCTCCACAAGAGTTAACATGTTCTCCACAAGAGTTAACATGTATCCTACAAGAGTTAACATGTTTTCCACAAGAGTTAACATGTTTTCAACAAGAGTTAACATGTTCTTCACAAGAGTTCACATGTTTTCCAAAAAAGTTAACTATATGAACTTGAATCATGTTCACATATTAAAGGCCGCTATTTCTTAATGTGTTAATTTTGTGTAACAGCATTCACTCTATGGAGACCAGGCTGAACTGCGGCTATATGAACTATATGAACTTTATATACAACAACATATTGCCGCTGGCCGATCAATACTCATATTTCC